ATCGACTGGCAGATCCCAAAGGTTGAACTACCTATAACAGATAGGGGGTGTACCAGCCATGCATGATTGTTGTTGAACGCCACCCTAAAACCAGTTGCTACTGTTTGAGAGCGAAGGAGTTCTATGCTCTCTCGCGCCAATATGACCATGGGTGCCTGTTCTTAGCTCTGGTCAAGCAGACAGACGCTCCTACTGTTTCCTGTCCTTTTGAGATACATCAGGTTATGGACCAGTACGCTGATCTGATGCAGGAGCCCTTTGGGTTACCCAACCGGCCAACCAAGCATCACATTGAGCTACTACCTAGAGCGGTCCCTCCCAAGGGCCGCATCTACATGATGTCCCCGGCTGAGCTTGAGGAGCTCAGAAAGCAGCTTGAGACCCTGACCAACAAAGGTTGGATACGGCCGAGCTAGTCCTCTTCGTCCCGAAAGGGAATGGAGAATTCAGAATGTGCATCGACTACAGGGGTCTCAACAAGATCACTAGGAAGAGTACAAAGCCACTTCCTAGGATCGATGACCTTCTGGATATGGTGCAGGGCTGCACAGTATTCAGCAAAGTCGACCTCAAATCTGGATATCACCAGATTGAGATGGCAGAGGAGATGTCTATAAGACAACCTTCTAGACCAGGTATGGTACTTACTAGTTCTTGGTCATGCCAATTGGACTTTGCAACGCCCCAGGTACCTTCCAGACAGAGATGCATCGCATCTTCAGGCCTTACCTGGACAAGTTCATGGTTGTCTACCTAGATGACATCTTGGTATTCAGCTGAACTGCCAGGGAACATGCGGAGCACTTGACTCTAGTTCTTCAGTCGTTACGCGACAGCCAGCATAAGATCAACAGAGAGAAGTCCTCTTTTGGAGTTCCCTCTGTCATCTATCTGGGTCACGTAATCTCTGGAGATGGCCTAGCTCATGAAGCAGCCAAGATAGCTGTTATTCAGGAGTGGCCACAACCACAGACAGTGAGGGATGTCAGGTCCTTCATGGGTTTAGCCTCATACTACATAAAGTTTGTCATGAACTTTTCTGGAGTGGCTGCACCCCTGACCAACCTAACAAAGAAAGACACTCCTTTTCTTTGGTCCCTTCACTGTCAGTTGGCCTTCACACGACTCAAGAAGGCCTTGACTCGTGCACCAGTGCTGAAGTTGCCTGACCTCACTCTGCCATTCATTCTGACCACTGACGCCAGTCAGTATGGCATTGGGGCAGTTCTTCAGCAAGATGATGGGAATGGTCTACAACCAGTAGAGTTTACGAGTAAGAAGATTAAGACTCAAAAGCTTTAGGACTCTACCTACGAGAAAGAGCTGTATGCTCTTGTCTGTGCCCTGAAACATTGGAAACACTTTCTCCTGGGAAGACACTTCAAGGTCTTTTTAGACCACTCCACCTTACAGTGGATGAAGTCCCAGGGAGAGTTAAATGATAAGTTGGCACGATACATTCAGTTCATAGACATGTTTGACTTTGAACTGAAGCATAAGAAGGGCTGCTACAATAAGGTAGTCAATGCCCTATATCGTAGGCCTGACTCTTTTACACTGATCTCCTCGACTCAATCCTTTGGAGAGGAGATCCGTCAAACCATTGCTCGTCTTCTGCCTCAGGACCCGACTTATGGACCCATAGTCAGGAATCTGCAAGCGGATCCCAATTCTGAACCCGGCTATGCCCTGAGTTTAGACTTGATGTATACCTACAGCAGAGGTGAGGAACGCTTGTGCATTCCCCAGGATCAGCGACTGAGGACATTGCTGATGTCAGAGTGTCATGATGCCCGTGGACATTTTGGGTTCTTAAAGTCATATGCAGCCCTATCGCAGCGCTTCTTCTGGAAGGAGATGCGGAATGGTATGCTGCGCTATGTGGAAACCTGTGAGCTTTGCCAGAGGAACAAGGTCCAGAGTAGGCCTCCTCTGGGACTACTCAAACTCTTACCCATACCTGATGGCCCTCCTAAATCTGTGTCAATTGATTTCACAGATTTAGGCAAGACCACCCCTCGTGGCATGCGTCAGGTAATGGTCTGCGTGGACAGGTTCTCCAAATATGCAAAGTTCATCCCCTTGCCAGAGGTAGCTAGAGTCCCGGCTGTGCGAGCAGGCTTTTCAGAGAGGTGGGTCACACACCATGGACCACCCACTTCTATAGTCAGTGATAAAGACCCCCGATTTTGCAGCGATGAGTGGCAGTCCTACTGTAAGGACTACCTGCACTCACGATTGGACATGACCTCTGGTCATCATCCTGAAGCCAATGGTCAGGCTGAAGTGATGAACCAAGTCTTATTCCAACTGTTGCGTCCTGTCATCTCTTCAGATCAGCAGGACTGGGATCTCCACCTGGCTCGGGCACAACTTGCTTATAACATGTCTGTCCATTCCTCGACTGGGTTCAATCCATACCGGTTGCACTGGGGACGTGAACTACGACAGCCTCTCGATGATATCATCGATAAGGCAAGTCAGACCTGACACCAGGCACCGCAAAGTTCACCAGACGCTACCGCATAGATGTGGAAAGGGCACGGGCGAACTTGTTCAAAGCCCAAAGGCACTGATTGAACAAGCTAATCGCCACAGTCGGCCTTCCCCCATCCGCACTGGTGATTATGTCTGGGTAACCAGTTCTGAGTTGTCAAGGGAGGAGGATATCTCCCCCAAGCTGTTGCCTCGTTATTTGGGTCCATGGCAGGTCTTAGATACAGTGGGCGCTGATCCATTTGGCCCATCCTATGTCATCGACGTCCCGCTGCCTCTACGAACCTACTCGGTCTTCGATGCATCTAAGCTGCTTCCATTCACCCCAGCTGATGCATTCCTAGACTGACCCCCTCAATTTGGTCCACCGATCCTTGGCAAGGGGTATGACGTGGAATGGATTGAGGATGAGTGGGGCACAGGCCTCGATCGGCAGTATCTTGTGAGGTTCGCTTTCCAGCCTCCTACTAAGAACAAATGATTTTACAGAAGGGAACTTCTCAAGACAGCAAAGTCAGTTGTTCTGCGATATGAAGCGGCTCAGAAGGGCAACCTTCCTCGCCGTTCACCTCGTCTGCATCCCTAGCTTGGAGGTCCTCGCTCCCCGGGGGGGGTACCCTGCAATGACTTGCTGATTTCAACTGCGGAGACTAACTGCGAGGCTGTACGGTAACAGTGGTAGGGTAGGTTGGTAATTTTGTTTGCTGAGGGCTAACCGAGAGACCTACCTGTAAGGAATATTCGTGAGGGACATATCTGCAAATTTGGGAAAATACAGGCCCAACACTAATTCGAAATTCCTACAGCTGACCCTAACTGCGTATAGCAGACCCGGGATACCCCTAGGACGAACAGGCCCTAAGGGCCTACACCGATAGACGGTCCTATAGCCTATAGCCGGGTAGGGAAAGGCCGAAACTGAATCGGTACCGGTCGGTGCAGTCAGTCTGGTCTAGGTCTAGGCTAGGGTAGTAGAGGTCTATTAATAGTTTAGAGAAATCGGCTCGAGACTTTTGGCTGTTGATTCTCGCGAAGCAGCGGTTGGAGAGGCCAAGCAAGTTGGTGGCGGTGATTGTCTACAGGCGGTATCCTGAGACCCTCGCCGTGGACGGCAGCCATAGCCAGCCCTTCTGAAGGTTGCCGGAGCTGGGGCATCCTCAGCGCATCTACCCCTGAGGGTATCTGCGTCTGGCCGGGCTATCTCGAGGCTCTTCACTGAGTGTTTGTGGGTGGCGGCAGCCATAGCTGCCTGTTTCTTCGTCAGAGTTGTTCACCGGCACTGAGGACTACATCGCAGGATCTGTTCTTCATCTGGGTGGTTGGCGCTGGCCTCTGGGAGGCCATTTCGGTGTTGCGCTACTA